CAACAACGAACCATTTCTCCATCAGATTATGACGTTCAATGAAAAGTGGATTTTATACAACAACCAGCAATGAAGCAGCTCCAAAGCACTTCCCAAAGCCAAACTTGCACCAAAAAAAGGTCATGGTCATTGATTGGTGGTTTGCTGCTGGTCTGATCCACTACAGCTTTCTGAACTCTGGTGAAACCATTACATCTGAGAAGTATGCTCAGCAATTTGATGAGATGCACTGAAAATTGCAATGCCTGCAGCTGGCATTGGTCAGCAGAAAGGGCCCAATTCTTCTCCATGACAACGCCTGACCACACATTGCACAACCAAGGCTTCAAAAGTTGAACAAATTGGGCTACGAAGTTTTGCCTCATCTGCCATATTCACCTGATCTCTCGCCAACCATAACCTCTTCAACCATCTCAACAACGTTTTTCAGGGAAAATGCTTCCACAACCAGCAGGATGCAGAAAGTGCTTTCTAAGAATTCATTGAATCCCAAAGCACAGATTTTTATGCTACAGAAATAAACAAACTTATTTCTCACTGGCAAAAATGTATTGATTGTAATGGTTCCTATTTTGATTAATAAAGATGCATTTGAGCCTAGTTATAATGATTTAAAACTCACAGCTGAAACTGCAATTACTTTTGCACCAACCTAATACATGCTTATACTATAGTTGCAATGACACTGTTGAATCTTTATATATTGGGAGGGTAAACTGTTCCATAAAACTGAAATACTCACAGACTTTACTTAGGGAGAACAGAATAAGTGAGAGAGAGTAAATTTAATGTTGACTTCCAATATTGAATATTCTTAATAATTTCCTGGTCACTAATTAAGTATACTTTTGAAGGAAGTAAAGACATTAAAAAACTGTATAAAATAGGTTACCTGCATATGGAACAGAACTTTTTTGTTTTTTTCTATTTCTGAAGCTTGTGATTGTTGTTGCTTTGCAACTTGCTCTACAGCATCTGTTAATGAAGATGTGTCTTGGTTACCTATAACTAGACAAAAGAATAAAGTACATAATAAAAATTAAAATGCAGATATTTTAAGAAAGTTATATTTCATTAGTCAAAATCATGAAAATGTGATGCTTTTATTCTCATAAATAAACTAAATTTAGGATTGGTAATTTTCCCTTTCTGATTATAAACAAAACAAAAATCAAAGTCAATAATAATAGGCAATTCAAAGTTGCTTATTGCAATGTTATACCTGTTCCTTTAATGTATAAATATTTTGATTGTTCTGATTTTTTTCCCAGACCAGTTGCACATATACTATAATTACAGTGCTACCATAACAACTCTAGAGTAATTATAGTTGATGAATTTTCATTATAGGCTTGTATTTTCAGGCTGTTATACACATACCACTGTATATGTTTCTTCCTAGAAAAATTTAACTGCTTCCCTCTATTCTAATTTGCTATCAATTTTAACATAACCTATCATGATACTTTTTTATTATTGCTGATCTTTTAATTATTTCTTTCTGAGATTGCTTTATTACCTTCTTTGGGAAGTCCCTGAGTCTTCCTTGCTATGTTGTCTGACATTCTCCACGTCTGTAAACTCCTCTTTGCTCCTTTTTTATTTACCTTCTTTACTCTTACACAATAATCTATATTGATAATATTTCACTTTTGTTTTTTCCTGTCATGTTCTGGTGATCCTGAAAGTTAAATTAATTGTCAAACATATCAATGGGAATCTTGGTTCTCCTGCTTTTCAGCTGTTATGACCTCGAGTAAGTTTCCTAATTCCTTTGATCTTCAGTGTTCTCATCTGTAAAACATCATAGGGCTGTTGTAAGTAACGTATGTAACATGCTTAGCACAGTACCTGATATATACTGAGTAATTATTATGGATTAGTAGCAAGTACCTCTGGTACTACGATGAAATAGATTCTGAAACTAGAATCAGAATCTGGGAGAAACAGTGGCAAGAATGATTAGCAACTTCTGCCATGAGTATGGAATGTAGGGAATACAGCACTCCTATGCAGTGTTGTTTTGGCCAGGGTAACCCCTAGCAGGTTTACAATCATATTTTAGTCTATTCTCTATTTAAGAGTAACTGATGAGATGAAGGAGTATTTTTCTCCTTAAATCACTAAATAAATATCTTTCCTAAAGATTACTTAAATACAAAGTGCTCATGTACTAGTTACATATATTCTCTAAAAACAAAACTGAAAGGATTGAAACCT